CAGCCCCCACAATAACTTGGGCATGGAAACCATTGCAGTAGCTGACCTACACTACATTTTCCGAATCGAGTGATTCGGACTTTATGTAATCAACATAAATTTCACACTAAATACTCCGACGGTACATAAGATATATATTCGAATGCACTTGATCACCTTAGGTGGAAATCATAAGTATCGAAAATGGTATCAGGGACGATAAGTGGCAATTTATCTGCATACATGAAAAGCCTTCTAAGATTTTCCCTTGTCACTGTGGCCACGTCGATTATATCCCGGCTGTCGGTATACCCAGAGATCCCCTAGTCGACTCTCTTTAGACTATCACGACGACAGAAGGGGCACGACTGTGATCTTGCACGCCTGCAATTTACAAGTTTTATTTACGAGGTAAAGCAATTTGCTTAACTCGAGAGTCAAGACGAGAAGTGAGTGATGACATCTAACAGTTAGAAACCGACATAGAGTTTGGAAACCCGATACAAAGTGACGACAACTATATATAGAGAGATTTAGAAAACAACGGTGTTGAAGTCAGGACACGGTAGAAAACCCAAAAACAATCAGAAGCAACTCGAACTATACTGGAAGACATGTATGGTTCATTCTTACAAAGATGCAAGGAAAACATCAAATTGTCTGTTCTACATGATAATGCATGGTTGATGTTGATAAAAGAATCAACTGCTTTAACCGGAGTAAAGATATAGACTACAGGAAGCAAAAACGAGAGAGGAATAAGGGAAATAAAGGCGGGGAAAGGAAGAATACCAATCACGGTAACATTTCAAACACAAGGCGTGAGTGCAGTTCGGCAGCACGATTTTACTGTTCAATTCCATGCGTATTCCTCATTCTTCTTCCCTTTCCACATCAACATCAGTAAGTTGCCTATACTCTTCATCTTGATTTCTTCGGTATCTTTCCATGCACACTGCTTTTTTTTTATCTTCAGTATCAGTGACACCCCTCTGAAGTTGCAGTAAAGAGGGATAGATAACAGCTGGATGCAAATAACTCAGAAGTCTTACAACAACTCGGAATAAGTGCGTTCGTTGAGACACAAATCACTCGGATTGAGAAAAAAATACCATAGAACTCTCTTATGCTTGCTTTCCTTTCATGCTTAGACATCGTGGTAGTTCCATCCACACAAACCTGCAGTGCAGGATATGATACAGGAATGAAAACAACTAATTTTCGTGATTACAATAAGGTTAGTGTAACTCAAAAGTTTAAGATAGTTTCCGTCTTTGTTCTGCAATGTGAAATTATAATAAGGTTACTGTAACTTCACTTTTAAAAAAAATCCTCTCAATGAAAGAGAGCATTATCGAAGAAAACCCTATAAACATTAGCGTCGACCACCATGGCAACTCCAACGGACAACCACCGGAGAACATCCCCAACCTGAGGCTGCCCCCAGCTTAGAATGTCCAGGTTCCCCTATTCTGGTTAAAGATCAACATGCTGCTAAAAAAGTCAAGAAAGATGGTAACCTAGATACCCCATCAAACATGCAAACGAAAACCATCGACATGGAAAATGGTGAAGTTAGAGAAATGAACATGGAACCAACTAGTGTCCTGACAAGAAGTAAAAAGGTATCATATGCGTCAATGGCGGCAAAAAATCCATACGCGGAGGAGAATGAAGGTTTCGGCCAAGGCTTCGACATAGAAGAAGTAGTTGTACTAGACGAGGACTGTATCGTGGACGAATCTGACGCAATTCCAACGATTAAATTTTCTAAAAGAGTTCATGACCAAATCGATAAAAGCATGAGAAATGTGATAATAGTAAGACTTTTGGGTCGATCGATAGACTACAAAACCCTACTTGATAGAACCCATAGCCTTTGGCATCCTCGAGGGGAGCTCCAACTCGTTGACCTAGAGAACAACTACTATTTGGTTAGATTTGAGGACGAGAGGGACTATGCTGATGTCCTAACGGAAGAACCATGGACGATTTATATGAATTATCTAACTGTGTAACCATGGAGTAGGACCTTCTCGATATCAGAAAAGTATCTGTCACATGTTATTGTTTGGATTATACTACTTAGACTGCCATATAGATATTACTACAAAGTCTTATTCAGGAGAATCACGAGGGTGGTCAGGCAAGTAATTAAAGTAGATTATAACACTCAAGGGGGCAAATTTACGAGACTTGCAATCATGGTAAATTTGAATAAACCTCTCGAACCATGTATCGGTATCGACAATTTCATACAGAAGCTCGAATACGAAGGACTCCAATAAATATGTTACACATGCGGGATATACGGCCATAATAAAGAGACATGTTCAACCTCAACCTTAGAAATGGAAATAACAACAAAAAAAAGACAAACGAGAGTAGCCGAGCACCCCAAACGCACATGCTGAAGAGACATATGGGCCTTGAATGATTGTATCCAACCGTCGTCACAGAACAAACATGAAACCACAAACTAAGAACGATAAAAAATATCAGGAAACCGATCAATGGGTTCACGCTTTGTAGTACTAAGGGACGAGGTTGCAGGTAACACAGTGGAAAACAGTCGCATAAAGCTAACGACTAATGGAACCTCCCAAGATGAACAAAACATAGTTTTGACCACGCTATAGGACCTCCAAAACAACGAAGCAGAACAACACAAAACACCATCCAAGAATTTCGCATATATAGTCTCAAACCTCGAAAAAGGGCTGAAGAAAACTGACTTAAAACCAATAGAAAAAACAAGAGCGGCTGTGATCCCATTAGTAGAAGGTCGTCCTGCCGAGGTAGTCAACCATAAGGTCCCAAGGAACAAAGGTAATCACACAACCATAGCAATTTAGGAGCAAGGCTATGATTCGAACTCCCAAACCAGCACCAAGACAACCAAAATGAGAGGACAAAACATCAAAAAGAACCCAAGAAACCAGAAGCCGGGTAAATCATAATCTACATTACATATTGTTCCGCTCGACTGGGCTTAGAACTTTTCAAAACAACTAGATGCATTTGCAAATTGCAACAAATAAGAGCAGCCGAGGGGATGCTGGGGTGTAGCAGTCGAGTCAAGTCGAAAAATTTAATTTCTTGAGTCTCGTTGAATTTTGCTTACCCTTGATCTCTACCACACCAGTTCAAATTAACGGGTTGATGTAAAATATTGAATAAAATATCAAACAACTTAACATTTTTTAAGTTAAAATACTAATAGGATTTGAAAAAAAATATTAAAGATTAAATAGATATCTAAAATTAAATGCAGAGATATTGAGCGATCTTAATGATAAAAGAGAATATTATTCATCTTATAAGATTCGAATTCAAACAATTACATTTGTAGGGCGTATTTACGGTTTCAATAAGATAAAAAAATTCTGAACAAATATTATCTTATAATTATCTAAATTTATTAAAAAAAAATCAAATTCAGATGTCAAAATATATATTAACTTAGAAATTAAATGGGTGGTGTTGTAAATGAAACGAGACAAATCGTGAGTTACTCGAGATCAACTCGGTCAAAGCTCTGTTTGAATCGAATAGACTCGACTCGAGTTCAAACTTGACTAGAATTCTTAACGTGCCGAAATGAGCTAAGTGATACTCGACTCGAAAATCTCGCAAGCTACTTAAAAAAGTAATATATTAAAATTTTAAATTTTTTAAATTAAGTTATTATTAATATTAATATTTATATGTTAATTTTAGAAAACGATACAATGCAAGACTTTCATATACTTAAGTTTCGGGTTCGAGCTTCAATTTTTTATTTTGAGTGAAACTTGAAATTTTTAAGTTTGCGAGTTTTCGAGTCGAGTTGAACTCCAATTTTTTTTTATTTTATGGTGTGCTTATTTTATAACTTATAAACTTATTTTTTTATCAAAATATAATTATATGAGTAATGAATCATATATAAATTGAAAATATTATATCAATTTTTAGATGAAAAATATTTTTAAATTATATATATTCTCATGAAAAATGTATAATTATTATAAACTTACTTTTTAATAAAAATATTTTTATATTATTATCCTATTTTAAGTTGATATATTTTATGTATTATACCATTAAAATTTTAAATAGTATTTGAATGTATAATTTTTAACTTATAACATAATATTAAAATGGTCATTTACCCTTTTAAAAGTACATATTAACAATAATGTTAAATACTTAAATTATAAATTGAACTTTTCAAAATATTTTTCTATAACACTTTTTAAAAATATTTCCCAACGAAAATAATATTAAACTAGTCTTTAAATTAATAAAAATTGTTGGGGTGCTAAAGGAGTAATTTAATTATAGTGTAGGAGCCAAAAGAAGTATTAAATCATAGTTAAGAGTATGCATTTAGTGCATAAATTATTCATTTTGGTCTATTTTAGTACCTAAATTTTTAATTTTTTTAAAACTATACCTAATGTTTAGTTTTTATTTCATTTTACTATCCGTTGTTAAAAACTTAACGTGTTTAGTACCTAAAGTATCATTTTTGATCTGTTTTAGCACCTAAACTTTCATTTTTTTTCCAAAACTTAACGTTAAATTTTGTTCAACTATTTCAACTATGTATTTATTGACTTATTTATCCATGCATTGTATTTTATCTTTATTTTTAATTTTCTTACTGCCGGAGGTCTTTCACGGAAGCTGCTCTCAACCTGGCGTTGGGGCCAGCCTACTACCCCACCTCCCCCTTATCCCATTGCATATGAGAATAGGGTTTTGTTGTTGTTGTTGTTGTTAACGTTAAATTTTGAATGGGATGCGAAAATGAATAAAAAATAAAACTTTAATTATGGTTTTGAAAAAATTATAAATTTAGATACTAAAACGGATCAAAATTAATAATTTAGATATAAATGCGTAAGTTACCCTAAATCATATTACCCAAGCCCAGAAAGAATGGATAAAAAAATAGCAGAGTTGAATTCATCTTCAATCTTCTTAGGCCCATTGAGGTTGGCGCGGATCTCTTTTTCTTCTTCTTCTTCCTCCTCTCGCTCCGCTAGGTTTTAGCAGACCTACAGAAAGTGAATGAAGAAGTTTGGGCAATTGGAAATTCATCGGAGCTTTGATCGTTACTTAGAAGGGAAACATCAATGAGACAATGCATTCAAGATCTTCTTCTTCGCCTTCGTTTTCCTATTCCCATTCTCTTATTCACCGCCTTCGCTCGTTAGCCTCTCCGACGCTCCCTTTTTTTCACCTTCTTTTTTCTGTATACATACCTCCATGTCCAGGTTCATCTCTTTAATCTTCTTGTTATGATCACATGTATTGATGAATTTCACAATGAATTATTAGATTAAAATCTGTTTCCAATAGCTTTATATGTTGATTTTGATGAATTAAAGAATTCTTGGTTGCATGCTGTCTGAAATTAACAATTGGAGTTGGAATATTTTCCTTTCTGCTTAAGTTATAAATTGCTTATAAGGTTTTATAGAATATGCTTAGTAAATGATGCGAGAATTTTCGGGATGCAGACTTTTGACATTTGCAAATATTAGGAAAGCTGCAGCATCTGCCACTTCAAACCCAACTAGGAGCCATTCAGAATTTAGCAAGTATGGAACAGTCGTTGCTATGGGGCTGCGATTACCTCAGTATAGAGTATACTCCCATTTTAGGTTCAACATTGGAGGACTGGCTCCATTGTTTTTGCATAATGCCAAGGAAGAGATATCTCGAGGTTCTTTTTCTAGGTACTGTTTGTTCCTTTCTGCAAGTAATGCTGTGACTCATAATGCCCAAGTTGCTTGGAAAAAGCTCAGGCGAAAATGTTCTTCTGGTTGTCATACGCTCCCCTGCATGAGCAGGATTGCTCAAGCAGTCAGCTTGGCTTTGTTTCGCTCACATTTGATAGTTCCTGGTATTTTTGGATTGGGATGCGGACAATTGGCATTGGCACTGGCACAGAGGAAGGTAGTAGAGACAGATTATTTCCCATCACCGAATTCTTTGTATATGCGTGCACAGGATGGGCATGCGTTTGTTTCATCTATACTACTTTCAGTGATGGAAGTTGTTATCTTGTTAGTGAGGGCTCTGTATCTTGGTGTTTTGTTCTCTCCGAGCATAATAATGGCACCATTTGCCAACTCTTGTGGCCTCCAGTTCAGGAAAATGTGGCTTGAGGTTGTGCATCGCACACTTGAAACAGCAGGTCCAGCATTCATAAAATGGGGTCAATGGGCAGCAACACGACCTGATCTCTTCCCTAAAGATCTATGCACCAAGCTTTCAGAGCTTCACAGCAAAGCTCCTGAACACAGCTTTGCCTACACAAAGAAAACTATTGAGAGAGCATTTGGACGCAAGCTTTCTGAAATTTTTGAAGGCTTTGAAGAAGAACCTGTGGCTTCTGGAAGTATAGCTCAGATACACCGGGCTTTTTTGAGGTTCCGCTATCCTGGTAAACGGGTCAAGCCCATGTTAGTTGCGGTAAAGGTTAGACATCCTGGTGTTGGTGAATCAATTAGGAGAGATTTTATTATTATCAACTCTGTGGCAAAATTATCAAAGTTCATTCCAACTCTTAACTGGTTGAGATTGGATGAAAGCGTCCAGCAGTTTGCTGTTTTCATGATGTCTCAAGTTGATCTTGCCAGGGAAGCGGCCAATTTGAACCGTTTTATATATAATTTCCGAAGCTGGAAAGATGTCTCTTTTCCTAAGCCAGTGTATCCACTTGTGCACCCTGCTGTTTTAGTGGAAACATATGAACAAGGGGAAAGCGTTGCACACTATGTCGATGGATTTGAAGGACCTGAAAGGATTAAGACCAAGCTTGCTCATATTGGAACTCATGCACTTTTAAAGATGCTTTTGGTAGGCAACTACTTTTACTTGGTTTTCTTATGCTTATGGGGGGAAAATGATTGATTTCTACTTGATGATGCTTGATTCCTGTTTCCCATTGTCTTGTTTATTTGAAATATAAGAATTCGGTGCGACTCGGGTAACCAAAAGATTCCTTTTCTTCTTCCAGGTGGACAACTTTATTCATGCTGACATGCATCCTGGAAATATCCTTGTTCGAGTGTCTCAGCGCAAGTCTTCTCGAAAACAACTCTTTAAATCAAAGCCTCATGTCATTTTCCTTGATGTAGGCATGACTGCTGAACTTTCTAAGAGTGATCGTTTAAATTTATTGGAATTTTTTAAGGCTGTTGCCCGAAGAGATGGCCTGACCGCTGCTGAGAGTACACTTAGATTATCACATCGACAAAACTGCCCAAACCCAAAGGCTTTTATTGAGGTGATGTAAATAGATAAAATCTAAACTGTGCTGAAGGCTTTCAGGACAGTGAGGAGTTTGGAAAATGCTTTCTTTGTTATCTTGTTAGTGTCCCATTTAGTCAACCCGTCCAGAATGCTTTTTTTATTAACCCTTCCTCTATGTTTGTCATTTTAGGCAAATGCTTAAAGGTGTATTTCTATACATGTGTTCATCTTCTGCTTGGTTCTCTAATATCGTGTTTCAACAGGAAGTAGATGAAGCATTCACTTTTTGGGGTACTCCAGAGGGTGATCTAGTCCATCCGGCCGAATGCATGGAACAACTGCTTGAGAAAGCAAGGCGTCATAAAGTCAATATTGATGGCAACGTATGCACTGTGTTGGTCACAATGTTGGTTCTTGAGGTAACTCCTCCACTTCACGAGAGTCCGAACATTCATTTTGAATCTTTTACCGATCACTCAAGACGTCTTTTTCAACCCCGACTCCCCTCGTCTTTTGCTGTCCTTTATCTCCTAGGAAGGAAGTCCTTGTCTGTGTGTTTACTCTTGTTTACATGTTAGGAGGATTACATTTTCTCGACTAGTTGAGCCTGGAAGATAGAATCGAGATCATTTCGTAATAGTCCTAGGGCTGAAATGCCTTTACAATATGAAAATAGACGCATTTAATCGTTATTGAATTCGATATTGTGTTCTGATGCTTGTAGGGTTGGCAAAGGAAACTTGATCCCGAATATAACGTGATGCAAACGCTACAAACATTGCTACTCAAAGCAGACTGGGCAAAATCTCTTTCCTACACCATTGATGGCCTGATGGCTCCATGAAACATGCATGACGCCTCGCTCTCGAGATGGTAAGGTTCACGTTTTGCTGTTTCTAGGAAACAATTTTTGATAGAGCCAAGACACTAGAATATATACCAGTGTGGAAAAGCATATCATCATTTCATCTTGAAAATTTTGAGCTAATCTGAAGTTTCATTCCTTTAGTGTAATTACTTGCTACTTTCAACAATGACTCACAAAACAAAAACAGGGGAAAAGAGGAAATAAAGTGAAAAAAAAAAACTATTCTTTTCCTTCAAATTGCTTGTACAAAATGGAGTTCAAAACAATTCCAAGTTTACAAGTATTGTGATAATAATCATAAATCTCTTGTTTTATGTTGTGATCATTTGTAATGAAATATAGGATTTGCTTGAACCTGAGCGGCCTCATTAGTTAAAGGGTGTGTATATTGTCAATGGTTAAAGAAATATTATAAACATATATTGTCTTGTAATCGTCCCAAACAATTAAAAAAAATAGAATTTGTGTGGTTTGGTCCGGTACGTTAGTTTGGTATAAAGATTTAATATCTAATCTATTGATAGATTAATTGGGATTCGAGTACCATAAGGATTCATTATGGGATGTTCTTCTCGATTTAACTTTTTGCATTTTTATAATGTTGGGATTCAAACGAATTAGGAAAATCATTAAGCCAACTTAGGAAAATCATTAAGCCAACTTCTTTAAACGAATTGTAAACAAAAACGTCTATTTAATTTTGGGTAAACTACACATTTCGTACCTAAATTATTACTTTTGCTCTATTTTGTTACCCAAATTTTATCTTCTTTAAAATCATACTTAACATTTAGTTTAGATTTCATTTTGGTACCCATCAATAAAAACATAACAGTATTATTCACGTGTCACCATAAGATAATGTCGCATCATCATCGAAAAATAGAAAGAATATCTCATCAACCTTTCTATTAATTTTTTTAACAACGAATATCAAATTAAAACTTAAACTAAACGTTAGATATAATTTTTTTAGGATATAAAGTTTAGATACCAAGACGCAACAATAAATAATAATTTAGACCATTGATTTATTTTCTTTAACTTCCAAATAATTAAGACTATGGTTCCTCTCATAGTTGGGTAACTCCTTTCTACACCACCACCATGAATTCCTTCCTCAATATTCAATCCCTTTTCTACATGCCTTGCCAATGTTACATCCGAATACTCCCCAAGACTCATTCTGCTGTACATCTCATCACCATAACCCTGGGAGGGCAAACCATTTTCAACTTCCGAATGTTTACCAACTTCGACATCTTTCTGAACTTGAAGGGACTGCTTTGACTGCCATCGACCCGAAGAAACCTTTTCAAGAGCACTAGCATGAGCCAACTTTGAGGCGGCACTTTGCTCAGACCATGCCGATTGTACAGGCTCCAGAGCACTTAATGTCACCTCCTTCCGAGATGTCCCAGCATTAAGGGTACAATCCTAAAGCAGCCTGGGCAGCATTCAAACCCGAAGTCTGAGAACCCAAACCAATATGTGCAGCTTCAGATACTCAAGAGCATGAATGCCCCCTCCAGTTGACAATGGAGACACCGGCGCTGATCCATGCCGACCTGAAACCCTACCCGAATCAAAGGCTAAGCTAGACATGTGCAATGTGCGCGACGCAACAGGGTCCCGGAATAGCAAGGGTCCCAAAAAATTCACAATGAAATTATTGATATTACCGTAGATGATTAAACTATAAAAAAGGAACCCAAAAAACTTTGTTCGAAGGACGATATGAGAAATATCAATAATTAGTATTATGCTCAGCTATAAAGGTTATATCATTTTTCTTTATCTAACTCACTTTACGAAAAAAATTCCTCTTTTTAAGAATTTGCACAGGATTCCAACGTCCTAACCCCGACCATGACCCGAATAAGCAGACTCCAGCTTAGCTCCACATGTCTAGCCGGAACCCGAAAACTCTCATCACTGACGGTTCTAGGCGGAGCAGAAACCCCATCTAACGACAATATAGCCCGAGTGTATTAGGATAGTCGAAACTTGGGCCCAATATTTAAGCAATCTAATCTAACTTTGATTTGGGCTCAATTATTAACTACAGTCGAGAATATTATATTATGATAAGTTCTAATCTAAAATGTTATTTGGTTATTCAAAAAAAGTTATATAATTAATAATAATTTTATTTATAATTAATAATATCTTTACGATAATGTTTTAAGTTGTAACCAGAATAATTATGTAATTCGTTATAAAAATATAATATTTTTTATTAAATTTAAAATGTTGTCCAAATTACTCTAAAGAATTATACTCTTAATAGATTTTTTTATTAAAATTGATTTTTATCGTTTTTATTAGAGGTTTTCAAAAATACCCAACCAATCAACCCGTCGATTCAATATAAAATTATCGAGTATTTTAGAAGTACACACTCGATTTTGCGAATCGAGTACTTGGCCTGTTATTTTTAACGGATTTTCGGGTCGGGCCCGGTCACAAAATTACCCTTAATCGGGTACATGCCAACTTGGTTCCCTTTTTTATTTTATTACTATTTTTTATTTTTAATTAGATTTTTCATTTCTAATTTCAAAATTATTTTACTCTAATGTTTTAAATCTCTATTTTCTTCAAATTATTCCATCTTAACATTTAATTACTTCTTAAATTATTTCTTTTAATCCTAAATTATTTTAAATTTAGTTGTAATTTTATTATTTTATTTTATTTTATTTTTTATATTTTTATATTTTATTTTTAGACTATATATTTTGAATTTATAAATTTTATGTTTATATTATATATTATAAACTTTTAAGTTTTAAATTTTGTGTTTTTTCTAAAAAGATTATTCTAAAAATTAATATAAATTAATAAAATAAAATAAATATTAACCTTGTAACCTAACCTGAAAATACAAATACCCGAGTTTTATGGGTACTCATCTTTTACGGGCTAAATAATGGGTAGAATTTTTGTGTTCAAAAAGTCTCAGGTACCCAAATTTGAACACCCCTAATTTTTTATCCATATATTAACCTATTATATTTTAGGGAAAAATATGTAAATGGTCATCTAATTATAGGGTATTATTTTGTTGAGTGCCCGATTATTAAAAGTAACAAAATGATACTCTAACTATAAGATGTTACTTTGTTAAGTCCATCGACTAATAAAAGTTATAAAATAGTCATCCAACTATTTATATGTTTCAAACTCACTGTTGAGTTAATCAATCGACGGAATCGGCCAAGAGGGGGGTGAATTGGCAATTAAAAATTTCGTGGAAGCTTTTGCAGAAAATTTGAAAGTAATTGCACAGCGATTTACAGTGGTTCGACTTTCTCAAATAAAGTCTACGTCCACTACCTTAGCTATCCACACTAAGGATTTTCCAACAAATTCACTAATTTGTTCTTTCTTTTGAGGCCAAAGAGATAACCTTACAAAATCCCTCAAGAGTATACCCCAACTCTTGAGAACACTCTTTTTCCCAAAGAGAAGATTACAAATTTGCAAACTTACAAGAAAACCTCACAAGGTAAGATGTTTGCACAATTCTAGAACAAGAAAAAAACACTCAAAGATAATTACAAATGAGCACAAATGGTGTTCTTGAAAGCAAAATGAACATTGAAAGGAAAATTGGCTTGATTTGCACAAACTTGGTGTTTGATGCTTTCTCTCTTGTTTCTATATGATTTCTTGTTGATCAAGGGCTTCAGAACTTGTTTAAATACACCTTGAATCTCTTCTGAACGTTGGGGATGATTAGTGAAGATCATATAGCCGTTTTAGTGTGAAAACAATTAATAAAACAGTTTGGAGCGTGGGGGGAATCGGTACCCCCTATGGGGAATCGGTTCCCTAAGTGTAAAATTCAAATATTTCGACCGTTGAACAGGGGGAATCGGTACCCCCTATGGGGGAATCGGTTCCCTCCGAGCATTCTGGAAATCTCGGAGCCAAACCATTCAGGGGGGAATCGGTACCCCCTTGGGGGGGAATCGGTTCCCTCTGAGCAATCTGGAATTTTTGGCTTTGAAATGGTTCGAAATACTTTGAAAGATTATTTTGAAATTGTTTTAAGATTAAAACTTAATTTTACACTTAAGTAAGGATTAAAAATGATTTTTGAAATATTTTGAGTAATGTTTTGATATTCGAATAATTATATCGAATATACTTAGAAAATCATTTTGGAAAATCTTAAAATTCATTTAACTTAATTTGTTATATCGAAATATCAAAATGTTTTCAACAATCTCCCCCTTTTTGATATAACAAAACATTTTAGTAATTTTAAGATTTTGAAATCAAGTTTTGAAATTACTCCCCCTTACTTTAACACTTCTCCCATTTATCATTTTAAAAACACACTTAAAACACACTTCTCCCCCTTTTTGTTAAATCAAAAAGATTCAAATAAACGTGAAAAATATTAAGCCAATTGATTAGGTATATGTATGCATAAGCTGCTAAGATCACAATTAAGAGAAACGTTAGCCATTAGTTCCATAATCAATATTCATAAACAATGTGATATGGTAAAATTGGTCATATTGCTAATAATGATGTAAATGATGCAATAATGAATAAATCACACCAAACATATAAGTATATAAGTTCAAATATCCATTTATCCAACAAATTCAAACACCCAAAATAAAACAATCCATGAACATCAAAATGTTTCACAATTAAAAGTTCTGAGTTCAGGACGATAAACCCATTGACCCAAAGACCGAGTTTGATAAACAAATTACTAAGGAGACAACCATAAACCAAGGTTTCTATATTCTTGGAAGGAACAATGTTTATGGAAACTCACTAAAAATGATCTGTGGCAGATAAATCTTCTTTTTATGTTGGATACAATATATCCACCATATCTATGTTCCTAAGGGAGGAGTACCTACCTCCGGATGGTCTAAACCACCAAGAGATCAAATAATGAAGGAATCTATCACGATGAGTTCTTAGGGTACTCTCACTATCCTTAGACTTATAGGGTGAATCCACAGTCTCTTTTTCATTAAACCTGAGGTATCTAGTCCAAAATGGGTAGCGATTGTGCCGGAGTCAATAAAAATGAATTGTCCTAAAAGATAGGATCAAATTCCTATAGTTTCAGATCGGAGCTCGTTTTGGTCACATACCACATTGGAATAGAAAAATAAGGACTAATTGATGATAAACCAAAGGTTTGAGTTAAAAGAGTTTATCAAACTTATAGGATTTAAGAGTAGGAAGATATTGGAA